ATTCTTTTTTATGGCTGAGTAATATTCTGGTGTGTGTGTGTGTGTGTTGTCAGATGATTTTTGACGAGGGTGTCAAGAATACACAATGGGGAAAGGATAGTCTCTTTAATAAATGCTATTGGGGAAACTGGACAACTACATGAAAAAGAATGAAATTGGACTCTTACCTTACACTATACACAAAATTCAACTCACAATGGATTAAAGACTTGAAACTGTAAAACTCCTAGAAGAAAGCATAGGGAAAAAACTTATTGACATTGGTCTTGGCGATGGTTTATTGGATATAACACCAAAAGCATAGACAACAAAAGCAAAAATAGACAAGTGAGATTACATCAAACTAAAAGGCTTTTGCACCACAAAGGAAACAATCAAAATGAAAAGGCAAGCTACAGAATGGGAGAAAATATTTGCAAATCAAATATCTGATAGAGTGATTTAAAAATGCAAATCACTTTACTATCCTGCTTTTCAAACCTTCCATGGCTGCTTACTGCAGACAGAATAAAATTCACCCTTCTTATCCTGACCTCCAAGGCTCTGAGTTACCTAGTTTCACCTACTACTCCAACCTCACCTGGTGTCACTCTCTCGTCATTCCCCATATGCCAGCCCCATGGGCCTTTCCCCCTCTTTTTTCTTAAACAGATCAAACTCAGTGTATATTCAGGACTTTGGAGCTTACTTTTCTACTTGCTTGAAAAGCTCTACCTCTCAGATCACTATGTGACTGACTCCTTCTTGTTAATGACTCTCAACTCAAATGTTATTTCCTCAGAGAGACCTTCTCTGAACTAGCCAACCTAAAGTAGCTACAGGGTTATGAGCACATTGCCTTGAACTTTATTCCTTATGACTCATCACTCTGAGTTATCTCTGTATGTGTATTTGTTTACTTATTGTGCATCTTTTTTACTTAAATGTAAGCTCCACAGGGCCAAGACATTGTCTACCTTGACCTTCACTGTATTTCCAGTGCCTGACACTCAGCAGGCACTCAGGAAATGTTTGGGGAGTGAATGAATGAATGAATGATGCATAGAAATTATCCAGGGAAAGGTAATGGTAAGGAAGGCAAACTTACCCAATACCCCAGGCAGAGTTAGACACCCTGGTCTCTTAGCCCTCCTGCTATGATTACAATGTGTTATGATGCACCTGCTACATGGCCACTTCTCTCAACAGATGCTAAACCCCATGAGGGCCAGGATCATTCCTGTCTTATTCATCACTGTATGCTTTGTATGTCGGTATGCCTGGTACATAGGATGTCTTCAATAATTTTTTGTTGGTTGACTGAATAACTAAATCTATCTTCCTCAATTGATAGAACACAGATGGAATGAAACCCAACATATCTATCTTTTACAAATGGGAAAGCTGAGACCCAAGGAGATTTATCCACCGTCACACCCTAGTCAGGCCATAATGCAGGTCTTAGCAGCAGAACTATTTTCCTGTAAATGATTCAAAAGTTGGCTCAACTGAGGTGGCTTTTCAAAGGTAAGCAGCTAAGCAAACAGAAGGCCAATCCATCATTTTTGCTTGGAGAAGAAGGGAATCTTGTTACAGAGGCAAAGGGCATATTTAATGAAATGACACATCTTCTAGGACAGGATTAGCCTGGACAAGATGGAGGAATAGAGCAGCTATGTTGAGGCGTGGTATGCACCTGCCAACACTAATAGTATTCAGGTTATATTTCTACTCGTCCAGTGCATCCCCTTCCCAGAAACCCCAGCCACATGCCCCCATCCTGTAGCAGGTGTTGCTATCAGCTTTTGATGGTGGGAATTACTGGCAAGGTCAATGTTTTCTGAGACAGCCTTGCAGAGTTCTTAAGAAGATGTTAAGAAGACACAATTTAGAGTCAAACAGATCTGGATTTGAATCCTGTATTTTCTACTTACAAAACTTGACTGTAGCAAAGAGATTCACCTCTCTGAACCTCAGTTGCCTCCTCTATAATTTGGATATAGTAAGAATAAGATTTATTATGCAGGGCTTTGTGAGAACTAGGTGAAGTCATGTGAGTACTTGGTAAACTGAAGCTGTGTTCATGCTCTTCTTGTGTCTTTAGGTATCTGCCCTGTTTGTATTTAGATGATTGCTTATGTTCTTTGAGGATAAAACTTTTTATTTCATCCCTGGGCATCTCATTTGTGCCCAGTACAGAGCAGGGCAGAGAGTGTGTGCCAGTGCAGGCTGCGACCCTGTCTAGGATCTAACACTCAGTGAGGATAGGAAGAGCTGTTGCCAACAGGCTTGAACACCTGGGTCTTTATGTGTGTGTAGTTGAAGTGGTGGGTACCATGCCTAACTCTAAGGGGACAGGCAGACTAAGTTTCTGTGCAGGCAGGATGGTTTGTGATAATGTAGTTTGCCTTATGGTAGTTATAGTACATGAAGGCAACCCCAATGCTGGACCTAGAATACATCCAGAGGTGGCTACATGTAGTTACTTACCATTACCCCTGTCCCAGTTTAAGTCGATTCTAAGAACCTAGCTTACTAGCCACAAACCTAATAGGAATGGAGCTGGGCCAGAAAGTCAGAGCTCCTGTGTTTTAGCTGCTGGAAGGAAGTCCATGGGTTAGTGATCTGAAGTGTGGGCAAGGGAATAGACAAGACTGAAGCAGAGCAGCTTGTGGAGAAAGGGTTGGTTTAAATCACTGTTGGATTAAAGATCTTGCCTAGGAGGGAGCCAGAAGCAAAGCCTGCTCCTTGGCTGCAGCCTGAGCTACAAATTACCACCCAACCAACTCAGAGTCACTCAAAAAACAAGACTGCAATGGATTCAAAAGTTGCTTCTTTTTTGCCTGAAGTAGAGGCAGGACTGACTTTGGAGAAAATACTTATTTCATTGGAAACATCATTCTGAGCAGCTGTATTGATTATGTCTATAGTAAATATTGATATAAGGTAAATCTCAAACCAGCACCCAGATTTTTATGGCCTCCCCATCTATCACAAGCCCCAGCCACTCTACAGCCAGGCTTGTGATGAAGTATAGAGTAAGCTATTCACTGGCACCATTAAGTTGGGGAGAAGATAGTTATCAAATATGGTAATGCCTAATGATTGAATTTAAGTTTGGTGCCTGGCAAGACTTTATTCTATTGCTTAGCCCTTCTCTTCTGTCTCTATCTCCCTTGAGTTTTCATTCCTGCGCAATGACTGTCCCAGCCTTCTCCTTTTTACCACCAAATTTTTGAAAGAAGTAGCCTGTTCTCATTCTTTCTTGAAGCCATAACAATAAAGTTACCACCACCACCACCACCACCACTCTACTTGGATGTCCCACAGGCATCTTAAATCCCACATGGTTAAAACTGATCTCCTGCACACTTCCAGTGTTCCAGTCTCAGTAAATTCTGCATCAGGCACTCAGTTGGCCAAACTAAAATGTGGGTGTCATCCTTTACCTCTCCCTTTGCCTCATGTCACCTCTCATCCCCTGCTACTTAACATCACTGCTCTCAAGATAAAGACAAAAATGTTTAATATGGTCTACAAAGCTTTGCACATTCTGGCCCTTATCTATCAGTTTCATTGTAGTTTGCACCATATTCACCTTTGATCATGCTACTTAAATCACAATGATTTTATTTCTGTTCCTTGAACACAACATTGTTTCTGTCTCTGGCCTCAAGTCCCCCTTAGACCGTGCACTTCTCTTTTAGAGAACTTTTAGAAAAACTAATAAACTTTATCTCTTAGAACAGTTTCAGATTTACAGAAAAATTAAGCAGATAGTACAGAGAGTTCCCATATACCTCCAATAGTTTTCCCTATTATTAACATCTTACATTAGTGTAGAATTTTAGTTATAATAATGAACCAATATTGATACATTATTAACTAAAATCTGTAATTTATTCAAATTTCCTTACTTTTTACCTAATGTCCTTTTTGTGTTCCAAAATACAATACTATATTTAGTTGTCTAAATATATGTCTCCATAGGCTTTTCCTGGTTGGACAATTTCTCAGACTTTCCTTATTTTTGGTGACTTTGACAGTTTTGAGGAGGACTCATCCAGTATTTTGTAGAATGCCCCACTATTGGGATTTGTCTGATGTTTTTCTCATGATTAGACAGGAGTTATGATATTTGGGAGCAAAACCTCAGAAGTAAAATGACATTTTCATCACATCATATCAAGGCAACACACTATCTACGTGATTTATGATAGTTGATGTTGACCTTGATCACCTGGCTAAAGTAGTGCTTGTTAGGTTTCTATACTGTAAAATGATTCTTCTCCCCCTGCTTTCCATAATGTCTTCTTTGTAAAGAAATCAGTATGTGCAACCCTCACTTAAGGAGTAGGTGTTATGCTTACCTTCTTTTAGTATCTATATAATTTATTTGTAATTCCTGTGCATAAGAGGCTCTTATCCCCCATCTATTAACTTATTCAATCAGTTATTTCTATTACTATGGACTCATGAATATTTACTTTATACTTTGGGTTACATTCTTTTTTTTTTTCAAAGATTTATTTTATTTATTTGAGAGAGCGAGAATGAGAGAGAGTACATGAGAGAGGGGAGGGTCAGAGGGAGAAGCAGGCTCCTCGCTGAGCAGGGAGCCCGATGCGGGACTCGATCCAGGGACTCCAGGATCATGACCTGAGCCGAAGGCAGCTGCTCAACCAACTGAGCCACCCAGGCGCCTTTGGGTTACATTCTAATATTACTTTATTTTGGTGCTTAAATTATTCCAGGTTTGGCCATTAAGAAGTCTTTCAGTTGGCTCCTGTGTCATTTTGACATGCTCTATCATAGTGGGATTTTGTTGTTTCATTTTCAGCACTTCTTTTTTAAAGGGTAAAATTAATATTTTTTGTCACTTATAATTAGATGACAGTTGAGTATATAGTCTTCATATTTGATCTTTCTTTTTTGTAAATAAACAAAATTATAAATTTTATATAGCCAATGAATGGTTATGTTTTCAGAGAACATAATTAGATTAATTCATTAATGGTGGCTTAAAGTTTTCCCTTATTAGCACCAGAAAATTCACCCACCTTTTGTCCCTTTTTAAAAAACTGGAAGGATGGGGTGCCTGGGTGGCTCAGTGGGTTAAGCATCTGACTCTTGATTTTGGCTCAGGTCATGATCTCAGGGCTGTGAAATGGAGCCCTGTGATGGGCTCTGTGCTGGGTGTAGAGCCTGCTTAAGATACTCTCTTTCCCTCTGCCCCTACCCCACACCCCCTCCCTCTTTAAAAACAAAACAAAACAAAAACCAAAAAACAAAAAACTGGAAGGTTGGCATGCATTTGACTTCACATTCTGAAGCAACATCCTGACAATCATCCACATCTACTTCAAGGGATACCACGTTGGAATACTTCTCAAAGAGGGAAAGCTTGATCATTTTGCAAGGCCCACACCATATGGCTGAGAAGTCAACTACAACTAGTTTATCTCTTGCACTGTTCACGGCTTCCTGAAAAGCATACTTGCTCTTTATCTGCTTCACCATTTTGGCAGTTGGGGTCTGACAAACGATGGTGAGGACTGATGAGAGTGGATCAAAAAATGCCAGACCGAGTTGCAAAACATGCAGTCTGCCTTCCCTTTACAGCAACTAGCACTTATTTTTTTTTAAAAAATTATTTATGTATTTAATTTTTTTATTTGAATATAGTTGACACACAAACTGATGGCTGCCAGAGGAAAGGGGGCCTAGGGGATGGACAAAATGGGTGAAGAGACATGGGAAATACCCACTTCTAGTTATGAAATGAATAAGCCACAGGAAAAAAAGGCACAGCATAGTTACAGTTGAGTATGTTGTACACCTGCAGCTAATGCTTTTGGCACTTCTTTATTTTCTCGTCTTACAAGATACTTGGCTTATCTTGTATATTTTCTACCCCAGTCCTAGAAGCTCCTTTCTCCAAGGAGCTCTTGGTTCTTTTTATTGGAGAAAGTTATTAGGAACCAAGATCTAAGTGCTAAGTGTGCTTGCTGTAGTACACTTTTATTAGTTGCAATTTTACATCTGTTTGTCTGATTATTTAATGAATGTCTTTCTCATCCACAAGGTGTTCCAGTATGGTAGGGACCGAGTATGCTTTTGCTTTGTTATGTTCCCAGTGCCAAGCACAGTCTCTGTTACATAATATGCATTTAATAAATACTTTCTAGATGAAAGAGGGTTTATATTTCATGAAAATGTCATCCTTATGTTCATCCAGGACAGAAATATCAGAGTAATCTAAGTCTCCATCATCTTTTTCAGTCTTCACATCCAATCATTAAGTCCTGATAATTTCTAGAATGCATTTCCTAATTTCCACTTTACCACTGCATTGATTCAAGTGCATATTTCCTATCTATGGACAACCACAATAGCATCTCAAGTGGTATCCATACTTCCAGTTCAATCTACACTTCATATTGGTAGAAATTGACAAGCTATTTATAGAATTTATATGGGAATGCAAAGGACCTGGAAAACCTGAAGCAATATTGAAAAATATAAGCAAAGTTGGAGGATTAACCTTTACCTGACTTCAAGCTTTTCTCTAAAGCTATATTAATCAAGATAGTGTGTTACTGGCATAAGTATTGACTAATATATCACTGTGACAGAATAAATATCTCAGAATAGATCCACACTTATACAGTCTTTTTATTTTTGACAAAGGTGCCAAAGCAACATAATGAAAAAGGAAAAATATTTTCAACAAATGGCACTTAAAAAACTGTCCATTTATACGAATAAATGAACTTTGAACCTAGCCTCACACCATACACAAAAATTAATTTGTCATGGATCAGGGACCTACGCATACAATGAAATGCCGTAAACCTTTTAAGGAAAATTATAGAAGAATATTTTTGCCACTTGGAAGTAGTCAGTTTCTTAGCCAGGATACAGAAAACAGAAGCAATGAGAGAAATTGATAAATTAGACTTCATAAAAATTTTAAAACTTCTGCTTATCAAATGACACTGCTAACAAAATTAATGGGCAAAATATATACTGGAGGAAATTATTTTTAAAAACTTATATTTGATAAAGGACTGGCATTCAGGATATGTAAAGAACTTCTACAACTCAATAATAAAAAGACAGACAACTGAAAATGGGCAAAAATATTTGAACAAACACTTTACAAAAGATATACAAATGGCCAATAAACACATGAAAAATTGCTTACATCATTAGTCATCTTGGAAATGAAAAGCACAATGAGACACCACTACACACTCACCAGAGTAGTTAAAAATGAAAAGACTGACAATACTAGATATTGATGAGGATGTGGAGAAAGGAACTGTCACACACTGTTGGTAAGAATATAAAATTATATAATCACTTTGGGAAAGGGTCTGGTAGTTTCTTATAAAACTCAGCATCCACTTGCCCTGTGACTAAACATTCAACTCCTAGGTATTTACCCAAAAATCCTGAAAATACATGCCTATAAAAAGAATCATACAAGAATGTTCATAACAGCTTTATAAATAATAGCTTAAAACATGGAAACAACCCAGATGTCCATCAACAGGACAATAATAAACTGAATAGACTTATATGCACAAACTGAATACACAAAAGGGATAAAGAAACTGTGGCATATTCATCCAATAGAGCACTGCTTAGCAATAAAAAAGAATTACTGATGCATGCAATAGCCTGGATGAATCCCAAAAGCATCATGCTGAGTGAAATAATCTGGACACAAAAGAGTACATTGTTGTTCAGATTCAAATTTGTGCTTTCTCCAGATGACACTGTAAAAGAGACTAATATTAGATTGTCTTGCTCTTTTCTTTTTCCTTTCCTTTCCTTTCCTTTCCTTTCCTTTCCTTTCCTTTCCTTTCCTTCCCTTCCCTTCCCTTCCCTTCCCTTTTTTGTCTTCTACATGACAAGATCTAAGTTTTCCTCCCCCCCCCGAATACTTATCCATTTATCTCAACATAAGATTTTATTTATTTGAGAGAGAGAGAGAGAGAGAGAGAGAGAGCGCATGAGCAGGAGGAGAGGCAGAGGGAGAAGCAGACTCCCTGCTGAGCAGGGAGCCAAATGTGGGGCTTGATCCCAGGACTCCGGGATCATAACTGAGCCGAAGGCAGACACTTAACAACTGAGCCACCCAGGCTCAGTTGAGATCCCCTCCCTGTTGAGATAGGATATCTCAACATATTTCTGTACTGATTTGAGATGTCTCCTTTATTATATACTAAATATTCATATACTTGAGTCTGTTTTTAGATCTATTCTGTACACTATTCTTTTATGTCCATCTTATAATTATTGTGACTTCAAAATATATTTTAATATCTGTTAGAGCAAGTGTCCCCTTATTTGTTTTTAATATATATTTTTAGTTATATCAATTGTTTATATCCCACATCAGCTTTAGAATCATCCTGTCTAGGTTCCCAAAAATCCGGTTAAGATTATTTTAAATCTGTAGATTGATTTGTGGAGAGTTGACATTTCTTTGATAAGAAGGATAAAGAGGTGTCACATATAGGAATAAGCTCTCTTTCTTCATTTGTTTAAATGTCCTTAAATGACAATAGAATTTTATAGTGTTTTGTCATATAAGTAAAAATTGAAATGGCCAATGAGGCGGAGATATAGGAAGGCAAGGTAGGACCACCAGTCCCAAGCTCCTCACTGAACAGAGAGCTGGCCTGGGAATAACAAAACACCAGAATCCCTCTCTCTCTCCCCATGTGGCACCAATCCCTCCCTTCTGGTCTAGCCCCTTTGGCTGGTGAGCTGTTGACTAGTCATTTGAATATTCTTTCTTTGTCCTTATTCCAGAAATTCATTTGGGGAAAAGGGCAATGTTCTATATCTGCATTGTCCAGTATTATAGCCACTATTGGACAGTGCTGATCTGGAACATTGATTTCTAGGTAAGCTTGGGATTTGAGGTGGTATGAAGATTTTGATTAATCATATGAGCACTTGGGCCACCAAACATACAGCACCGGGATGTTCTTAATTGTCTTTAGTTCCAATCCCCATATGTACTAATTCCATTTATGGACAGGTTCCTCTTGGCCTCTCTTGCTGGCTATAACCTCTGGCTCTTTGAGTGCTCCTGGGGCAATCCCAGCTCAGTCAGAGAATTCTGATGACTCTTTAGACAGAGTTCGCTAGCCTCCTTAATTTCACTTATTATCTCTTGTCAGACCTTGGTGCTGTGAGCCAAGGCCTTGGATAATTTCCTTTGCTGTAACCCTCTAACCCCCATGTGGAGGATTAAGCATAGGCTTATCTAGGCCTCTCCACTGTCACTGCCACATAGGCTGGCTGGAGAAATGGGAAGAACATCCAAAGCTGAGGTAGAGGTCTGCACACTGACATCTGGGTTAAGGCCTGGATTGGGAAAGGTATACTGCTGCAAGTAATCAATGAAGGGGTTCAGCCAGCAGTCAGTACCATGAGTCACAGAGCAGAGCCAGAGCTAAGCCACAGGCCAGGAATGACACATTCAGGTTCAGGGATCAGGCAGCCATTGCATAGACTTAGCCAGGAGGGTAGCAGGGGAAGCTAGAAACACAAAGTGGTAAGCAAAGGAAGGGATGCTGGCAAATGCCAATCTTCTGGTCATCCAGAGTCACTCCAGACAGGGTTGGTCATTTGTTCTAGAGAAGGACTTCTTCTAGAGAAGGGCCAAAAGCCAGATGAGTGGCTGAAGCAGGAGAGGAACCATAAACAGTAAAGAGGAGATAGACCACTAATGTGGGATAGAGGCTTCTCTGTGTTTGGGCTGGAGATCTAGGTTTCTTGGTATGGACCTCTGGCCAGACAGAGACAGATGTGGGGGAAGAGTGATGCAGAGATAGGTTTTGTTGGAGAATCCATGCCAATCCAAAATGGGCAGAGGCCCTCTTTGAAGCCAAGAGTCCCAGACTGGTCACAGTAGAAATGCCAGGTGAGATTGCAAGGACTCAGGGTGTCTCAGATTAGTCTACTGACAGTTTGGGAGTGACAAAGGGCTAATAGGAGTCTCTGAGTTCTGTGAAACCCTCAAGGTATTTCCTAGAATCTGGGGTCATTCCTAGACTCTACTTCCATCCTGCTGTTCTAAGGCCACTGTTTATTTCCATTCCCCTCCTCTTGCTCCTTTGGGTTTCTCTCCTTCATTTGGGCAATGATCTGAGAGAATCTTCCTGGCTCCCACTTTTATTTCTCCTGCCCTAAAGAAGTCACAGGCCTTTTGTACTAGGGACTTCTGGGAAATGTTCTGGAATCTTCCAAAGGTCTCCTGTAACACCTTTTGTCTCTGGTCTTCATCTCTTCCCTTTCCCCTAACTTCTGTATTATAGTGTCCACAATCCCATGCCTTGGAATTCCTTTTTTTGTCCCTGGGGTGGGGAAATCTCATCACACTTTTTGTGTTTTTCAGTGCTTCTCCATTCCTTGGATCTGCAGGTTCTTTCCAGTGTTTGATCTAAACAAAAAATAGATGCCTATCTCCCAATCAGACTTGAATCTTTCCCACTTCA